ATATATATATATATATATATATATATATATATATATATATGTGCGAAGGTATGAAACCCCGAATCAGGAGACTCGGTAACGTGAGTACCGTTAATCTCTTGAGGACCTCGGAATGATCGTAGGCGGTGGTTAGAGACAATGATTGATGTGGCTGAGTGTCTTAAACAATGGTCTTCGTTCATCTTCTCAGTTTCTTTGCAACCCTATTCCACTGAAACTCCCCATTTACTCTTGGATTCTACGTTCAGCTCTCATGCCCTCCCACTACTTCATCCTAATGGGAAGCCAAAAAACATCAACCAAAACCGGCAAAACGGAAGTGCATGGTTAATAGTTGTACCAACTGAAAACTGAAACAAATATTTATTTTTATTCACTGCCCGAGCCTGATGATACAACGGGACTAGCGATCGCATTAAGCTTCTCAGCCGGACTTCTCTCACCCAATCTGTTCTATGGTTAGAGACACTTAGTGATATGGCTACGTGTCCTAAACGGTTGTACTTGTGCGTCTGCCCACTTTTCTCGCAGATCTAGTTCACCTGTTTTCCATATCGTCATTCAGTAGCTTTAAACGCTTCGATTAACTCATTCCCATAAGTTTCTGAAAGACTGGCCAGAATCATCATCCGACAGCTAAGGATTGCTGGCTGTGAAAAGTGAACATAAAAAACACGGTTGATACTTTTCTGTTCCGGTATAGGGTTTTATCATGGAACGTCACTCGTAGGTATATGTTGAAGTTGTCTACTTGCATCGCGAAACTAAAGAAAAGTCAAAGTAAGCTATTCACGTCTCAAGTTAATAAAAAGCTCTAATGAACATCGGATGGCTTATTCTCCCATTCCACTGGTATTAATTACAGTTTTTCATCATTTACATGAGAGGAGTAAAAATATGACTGTATGGGATTCCAATCGTGTGAACCATTGTTTCTTTGGAATATCTTCCGTTGTTATTGCGTTTTTAGATATAATAAACTAACATGCGTATAAGTCCGGTATATGCCAAACAAACCAACAACCTGTATTTTTATTGAGCGTTTGCCCTCTTTTGTGATGTCTTTGTACCATGCAGCGTCGTCTGTGATTGTAAATCTTTTTGGTTGAGTTACAAAACAAATATCTTTTGGTTGTTCAGTGAAGCGTTTCACGGGTTGTGTCGGAAGTGGTCCGTGGAGGTAGAGGTGGAGAGACTGAGAGTTCGTGATCCTTATTCAGACTGGTTTTATTGAGTGAGGATATGACTGTATACCAATAAATGTAACAATCCCTCTATTCGCAATGGAATATCTTTAAGTTTCTTTCATTTACCATCCACGACGATGTAGTTCGTCTCATCATGTGAATATTTTTCCCATTGCTGCGAACAATTAACAAAAGTTCCATCGCACATCTAGTCACGTGTTTTGTGCGTTCGTTTCGTTTTATTTTATTGTATTTTCAAACGTCTAAGTTCAGTCTATGTGCCAAACAAATAATGGTACAGTAATCTTTATTAATTGAAAAAATGCATGATTTACTCGGAGGCACGATACTGCTGGATTGCCCAGGCTAAAGCAGGTGAATTTTGTGCTGCAAAACGATTAACTTTTGGGTTTATTAGTATCTCACGCGATGCAATTCCAAATTTATCTTATCAGGTGTGAAGTTCGTGTCCCTAATCAGCCCACCAAGCGCGGCGTCGTGGAGTTCGTTGGTAAGTGTTCACTCTGTGGAACCCATTGTTCATAACTGCTGAAGGGTAATCATGAGGGAGAACGATTGATTGAGTTCGATAATTTATGATATCTGTAACAACAAAATGTACTGTAGTTTGATGATGTTGTCATTCTAACAGCTGGGTACCAAACCCAAACTAATAGAAATAGGGATTAATCAGATGCAGGTTATGAATAAAGTCTAGCAACAGTTTCGTGCTCAAGTTTAATATTTCATTACTGTGTCAGATATGCATTTTGGATGGTGCAAGTGTTCATATTCACCTATTCACCTACGTTTGTGATCCTATGTGGTCGGACACCCTAAGTTCCATCACGAGGCGACTGCACTTTGACGTAGTGTGATAGTTTATGCACATTTGTGGCCGAACAACTTGCACACAGTCACTTTTACCCTCAGTTTTTCAGTTTCAGTTTTCATGGCTTTTCATGCGCCGGTTTTGGTTGCCCATTTGGATAAAAGAATAGAGATTGGAATGTTGAGAACAAAGTCAAAGTGAAGAAAAAGAATTCACAGAGACTGAGGGTGCAAGAATAATGATTGGATGCACGAGGGCCATTGTTTGCTACCCTCAGCCATATTATTCAGTGTCCCAATCCAGCGAACCTAACGGCACCTGGTGTCCTGGTTAGGGTTTTCATACCCTCATGTTAGGTCTTAGTTTGACCGCCCTTGACCTTTTTCCATCCGCCACCTAAAAATAAAAATCGCTTGCTGTGGCAACCTATTTGGTGGCATGCGCAACACACCCCACCCAGTGTAGTTTATGGAGGTGGACCACTTGTTCCAGAGGGCGACCGCGATTGCCTAAAACTCTGCGCCTAACCTCAGCATTGCTCGTCCGACTGCCCCACCAGATTCGTGTAATGCTGCGTAGACAGCGGTGTTCAAACAGATAGTTTTTCTTTATCCTGTTTCCTTAATGGCCAAGTTTCTGCGCCGTATAGCAGAACAGGCCGAACTGTTGCAGCATACACTCGACCCTTCACAGACAGCCGAGTGTTGCTACGGCGCCACAGATGTCTCAAGTTGACCAATGCTAACCGAGCCTTCTGTCTGCGAGCTGCCATTTCATCCGTGATATGTCCCCCGGGTGAGATATAGCTGCCCGGATAGCAAAGTTTGTCTACTTGCTCTATTACTTCCCCAGTTATAGGGTGCGGCTGGGTGTAAGACCAACCCAGTCTTGAAGTAACGTTTTACACTTTGAAGGTGCAAAACGCATACCGAGCAAGGATACATTTGCACTCAAACTATCCAAGAAAGCTTGTCGTCTGTATACTCCGTATCAGACAGTCTACCTTGGACCTTTTGAGCGACTATCTCCTGCGAGATGATAAGTCGCTTTCTTGGATGTCTCTAATGATGGCAACCCATGCATGACGATCGGCAGAAA